TGGCCCAGCCTCCACCCTGCACCAGCAGCCAGGCCAAGGCCTGCTCCTCCCTTTCTGATCCCTAAAACTGAAAGGCGAGATGGGCCTGCTCCTCGACTCCCCCTAACTGAGATGTCAAAAGCTAGGCTACCGCTGAGAGCTGAGGACCCCACAGATTCAACTCTGTCTCCCCACGTCTCATGGGCAGTAGGGTTCTGGAAGCCAGAATCCACTGCTCCCTTTGCCCCCGCTACCAGGGGTTCTGAGGGATAACTCCTTTTCCCATCTGCTGCCACACAAACTAGTGGGGCCCAGGGACAGTCTCTATCTTCCCTCTCCTATACCCTCAAAATAGGTAGTTTTCTGGTACTAACAATTGATTCCAGGGACTTTGCACTGAGCTAAATCCTCAGCCTTTGTTTTTTTGTTTTATTTTGTTTTGTTTTTTGTTTTTGAGACAGTCTTGCTGTGTAGCTTAGGCTGACCCCAAAATTACAGCAATCCTCCTGCCTCAGCCTCCCGAGTAGTGGGATTAAAGGTGTATAGCACCACACTCAGCTAACCTAGGAGTTTATTATTTTTTTTTGGTGCCAGGAATCAAACTCAGGACCTTGTACTTGCCACGTAGGCACTGTGCCACTGAGCTATACCCCTGGCCCAACTTTGGAGTTCTTAAGGGAAAGGTCCCTTCTTCCCTCTGGTGTAACGCTCAACTTAGAAGGGGACAGGCCCTGTCTTCTCTCTGCTGTATCCCCAAAGTAGGAGGCTCTGAAAGACAGGTTTCTTTTTCCCTGTTGTGCCCCCAAACTAGGAGGTCGCAAGAGCAGGCCCCATAGTCCCTCTTACCTTTTAAAAGACTTGGGACCCCAAACAACACAGCCCTGTTTCCTTCCTCTCTCTCTCCAACCTGGGAGCCCCAAGAGCCCCAGATATCTTCGCCTTCCACCCTGGCAACTCTGACACCACAACCCAAACTCTTCTCCTTAAGTCTCAAACCCATAGCAACATAGACCAGGGCCTCTCCGTGCATGAAGGTTCCCTTGTGTCCACCCCGGAGGGACCCAGCCCTCACCTCTAGCTCCTGCTCTGAAGGGGGATCAGCCTCCGCCATCCTGGGCCCCTGCTGAGGGCCCCGCCCTCTTCCTGGACCTCAGCCCTGCCAGGGCCTCTGGGCCGCCACTTCCTCTTTCCTGCCAGCTCCCAGCACCCCTTGCGCACCCGCAGGCCAGCTCAGGGGCAATAAGGGGACCTCCTCTCCAGTCCCTCCAGGTTGCCTCCTTCTCTTTCGGGGGCAGCCCAGGGATGGCCCTCACTCCTGTACCCAGGAGGGGACAGGGAGTACAGGACCCTAGTGTGAGTGGCAAGCAGGCTTCACACAGGAGTGACTCCATGTGCAAGGAGTGACTTCATGTCATGGACTCACAGTTGGACACGTGTGTCCGCCTGAGCGCGCGCTCATATGCAAGCACCCTGAGTGCTCCTGTGGGTCACTCTAGAACCTGTACAATGCACACCCACACACCCGTGTGCACACTTGCCTGGAGTCACAGAGCATGCCCACACTTCACGAGCCTCCAGCCCTGCCACTACCTTGTGCACACCCCCATGGGCCCTCCCCCGCCCAGTCCCCAACTTCCCCTCCAAGTCAGAACAGCCAGTTCTGCAGAGGCCAGGCCCCCTTCCTGCCAGCGGCCTTCCGACTTCCTGCTTCCTCCTGTCCAGACAGTCACTGTGCAACCACAGCCTAGGGGCCGGGCCAGCCCAGTGGCAGCCCCTCGGGCAAACACTGTGAGGTGACAGCACTGGGGCTGGGGACAAGAACAGCCCCCAAACAGCACGCAAACCACCTGCCAAACACACACTAGAACTCAACTATTAATAGTATTACAGGGTAGGGTGCGGCTCAGAGGTAGAGCACTCACCCAGCATGTGCAAGGCCTGGGTTCCAGCCCAGCACAGCAAAGAATAACCATAATGGCAGTTACTTCAGACCTCCCCCAGGTCACATTACACGTGTGCTTGTCCCATTTTCAACACAAACAGACGGGGCCAGGCACACGGCTCAGTGGTAGAGCACTTGCCCAGCATGCACAAGGCCCCAGGTCAGACACCAGTACCACAAGGGGGAGAAAAGGAGGAAACTAAGACCCAGAGTGACATAACTTTCCCCAAAGTCCTACAGCCTGCAGGAGGTGGGGCCAGGATTTAAAACAAGTGTGTGTTATGGGGGAGTGGTGGTGCATGCCTATAATCCCAACACTTGGGAGGCTGAGGCAGGATGATCTCCATGAGTTCGAAGCCATCCTAGGCTACAAAGTGAGTTTAAGGCCATCTTGAACTACACAATGAAACCCTGTCTCAAAAAGACAAAAAAATAAAACAAGTGTACTCAAGCCATGCATAGTAGGGCACTACTATACTCCCAGTAGGTGCCACTATAGCAGGCTGAGGCAAAAGGATCACAAACTGTAGCCTACCCTCAGCAGCATAAGGAGATCCTGTCTCAAAAATTATTTTTAAAAAGTTAGGGATGTAGCTCAGCTTGAAGACCCTGGGTTCAATCTCCAATGCCACCAAAAAAAAGAAAAAAGGGAAAAAAAAAAAGATGCGATGAGAATCCCAACACAGGCTGAGATCCTTGTGTTCCTGTCCAACCCCCTGAGCAGCTGTCCCCAAGGTGGGCCCAAGGCCCACCTCAGGACACCCCCAGAGTGGGCTTCCCGTGCCACCACCATCCCCTCACCATACACCTGAGGAGCTATTACTTCTTTCCTACTTATACATGAGGAAACAGCCTCAGAAAAGTGACAGCAGTCCTTCTCCACGGTTGGGCATTTTGCCCCCAGTCCTTAGAGCAGGTGGCTGTGTCCTGGGGTGCAGAGATGGCATCTATAACGCTGAGCCCATGGATGGCGTACAACATTCTACAGTGCCCGTTGTGGCCCCCACCACAGAGAGAAACCCAGCCCCACGTGTGGACCGTGTGAAGGCTGCCAGGTGCCCCGGGCTGCACCCAGGATCACACACGGGCTGGGGACCACTAAATGTCACAGCAGCCTCACCTCCCATCTCAGAAGGCAAAGGCATCTGGCAGGGGGCACACAGCAAGGAAATGGCATCCCTGGAGTTGAAAACCAAGCTCACCTAATCCCACCCTGGCCCATGCAGGCCCCACCTGCCACCCATCTGCCAGCCCCACCCTGTCCCCAACAGGCAGAGCCAGGACACAGCCAGGAGCGAGGCCAGCTTAAATAGGGAAGGCCCAGGAGGAAGGGTGACCTCCCTCAACCCCCGCTCCAAAGCAGAGGAGGCTCACAATATGGAAAGCAGGGTGGGAGGGAGGCCGGGCCTCCTGGGTCCTCCTCCCTCGGGTGACTCACTTCTACCCAGGGACAAGGGGTCACCTGAGGGCCAACAGGGCAAACTCAGGAATTGGGCCTGGCATAGCCTTAGAGAATCCCTGCACCTCCACCTCCCACTGTGGATCAGGGGGCACCAGACCCAGGGTGCCCACCTCCAGGAGACCCTCTTCAAAGGTCGGCCAGTAACCTAGGCCCCCTCGTCCCGAGATATCAGGGCTCTTCCGGAGTAGGGACAGGACATCCGTTCCCAGGACACAGAACACACACACTGGGACAGAGGGCAGGGCGGCAGGCCCAAGCAACCACAAGGAAAGGATCACCAGGACTGGGGAAAGAGCGGGCATGAGATGGGAAGGGGATGGGGCATGGATCCAGCCTCATTCCGGGGATCACAGCCTGCACAGGGGCAGGCATGGTTCACGCCAAGCGCATGCAGGCGCTGGGGGTCCCACACAGCTGTCCCTGGTTGTGGGTGGAGGCAGGGACTCTGGCCCATCCCGGCCCCAAGGTCTGACCTTGTGTGATCGGCAACACCAGATACGCCCAGCTCCTCCGCAAGGCTGGCAGGCCATCAGCGGGACTGGGGACAGGGACACAGAGGGGATGGGGCAGGTGTGGAAGGAGACAGGAACACAGTTACACAGCAACCACGGGACAGTGGACGGGATGGAGAGACGCTGGCTCGGGAAGCACCAGCCCGGTACATCTCAGGTCTGGATCAAAGACCAAAAGGGCTGGGAGGCTCCTCTGGCCTGCCCGGCACAGGTGGAGAAGGTGACGGCCCCCAGGTGGCACAGGGTGAGCCGCAGGTACAGGAGGGGAGAGTGACCCAGGCCTGCCACCCTGGCGTGCAGGCAGGATTCCAGGGACTGGAGCATCCCTACCCTGCTGACCGGGACAGTCTGCACCTGGAAACAGGTGCCACCTGGCAGCCTCTGCAGCTGTAAGGGTGGGTGCAGGGGTCCCCAGTTCCGGAGCCTAATGAGGGGACTCGGGCACTTCCGCCAACAGGTGCCTATCTGGGAGGCGTCTGCCCGCGGGCGGGGTGGCGGGCGCGCGCGGGGCACCTCTCCAGGTGAGGCTGGGGCGCGGGGAGGCGACGCGAGGGTCCTGGGGCG